ATTTACTCAGGAATGTGTTTGATGTGAAATGCTAATTGGAAGAATTCATTTCTGATTCTTTGGTTTGATAACTGCCCAATTTCCCAAAATGAATGGCACACACTCATTTCCAGATGTTAAATGCCTAGTGCCCATCTTGGAAATCCTTTAAAAGAAGAAGAATTAGGTATCAGAATGTCGCCAAAGAGAAAACTGTACATTTAATTCTCTAATGATGTTCTCTTAGCATAATCCTAATTTTAGATTCCCTCCCTTTGGCCTTTTTCCCAGCAATGGGATGTGGGAATAAATATTTCATGAAAAGTCAATAATTTCGTGAATTCAAAGATGGTTCACCACAATAAAAGTTCCAACTGAGAAAAAATTTGGCTAGGTCGAGTTACATTCTGAAAAGAGGATTTTGAAACCAACTCTTTGGCGACCTTGAGAATGACTTGCTATGTCATAGAAGGAAGACTCTTTTGAAAAGCTCTTTCATATTTTAGAATTTCATTTGAATTTCACTTCTCACCTGTTGTGATCATGGGTGTTCCACAGCCCAGCTTAACATTTCCCTCAAATTTGCACAGGAATGTTAAAAATTATTGTGCTGAAAAATGGTTCAGTGGTTAAATAAGTTTGGAGAGCTCAGAGTTAGGGAGTTGAACCAGCCTCTGGACTCCAATTCTTCTCAGAGACCTTAGTATGTTAATGTATATTGGAAGGCCCAAGAGGACTCCATAGGACACAGGCTTCCCAATCAGATTTGACCACGAATCTTGCTTCTCAAGAATTATCTCTTAAGCTAAGGGTTTGGCAGATTCCACCTTGAGAAATACTGGTCTTAGGGGGCTGAAAAAAAAGTTTGTTTTATTGACTTCAGATTAGCAGAATATAGTAATCTCTCATCATCTGTAAGATGGTGAAAATGGGTGTGGGTACATGTGTTGGGTGGGAGGTTTCCAGAAGTCTCAGTGGCTAGTAAAAACCCTTTTGGCAAGGTGAAGGTCTCATAGACATTAGGGATTGAGAGGGAAAACATGCTAACAAAATGATTAATACTTATTATTTAAGATATTAAATTTCCAAAAAAAACCCTATATGTAGGTGTTCAAAATTTTCTCTGAGACAACTGATCAAATTTGCCCTTTCTGTACCTCAGCATTTTCATCTGTAAAATGGGAATAGTAATGTCCACCTCACACGGAGGTTGCAAGGACTAAAAGAGACAATGCATGGAAAAACACCAGTATAGGTGAGAAGCACAAGATGGCAGCTTTGTTCTCATTGCTGTTAGGGTTTTTTTTAAAGTACTTGAGGAACACCTTCCCTTTGTTGTACAGCTTCTCAAGAAGATGGCGGTAGCCCTGTTGGCATGGTTCAGTGGTTGAGTATTGACCTATGAACCAGGAGGTCACGGTTCAATTCCTGGGCAGGACACATGCTCAGGTTGTAGGCTCAATCCCCAGTAGGGGGTGTGCAGGAGGCAGCTAATCAATGATTTTATTATTGACTAGAGGCCAGGTGCAGAAATTCATGCACAGGTGGGGTCCCCCTGCCTGGCTGGTGATTGGGCCCTATTATTGACTAGAGGCAAGGTGCAGAAATTCATGCACAGATGGGGTCCCCCTGCCTGGCTGGTGATTGGGCCCATCTCATCCAGTCGGGGTTGGGGGAGGGGGGACCCTGGGAGGTTGACTGGCTGTGGGAGGTGGGCTGTGGGAGCGCACTGACCACCAGGGGGCAGCTCCAGCATTGAGTGTCTGCATCTGGTGGTCAGAGCACGTCATAGCTACTAGCCCGTAGTCCAGTTGTAACAATCGCTTAGGCTTTTATATATAGAGAGATAGATAGATGTTTCTCTCTCTCCCTCCCCCTTTCTGGTTGTCTCTGAAATTAATAAAAATATATTTAAAAAAGGTGGTGACAGGTTCATATAAAGATAATTTGGGGAAACATTTTAAAAATATGCATGTCCAGACCTGGGGCATGTACATTAAAAAACACACAAATCCCTGTAATGTAACTGGGGGCAAATCCTTAAATTGTATTCTCACCTCTTTTGCAGTAGTCCTGGAATATATTCCTTGGAATAAAAGGTTTCTGTGGTTAAATGTTTAAAAAGATTACACACTAGTAGCTGCCCCAGCAGTTCCCTGGGTTTTTTTTGAAGTATCTGAGAAGCCCTTAAGTGCACAATATTTGCAAACTTTTCCTTCTGAATTTATCTGACTTTCCAACATGTACGTTTATTGCAACTCTCATCAATGTCTTTGTTCAACATATTTGAGAAAAACTATATAATACAGAGTTAAACAGTTAATACAGAGTTAGACAAGTTTCAATGTTCCCAGAACTTAAACAAAAACAATTCTACCCATTTCAGAAATCTTTTTATACGAAAGACATAAGGGAGAATCAAGGTAACAAAGAGCAGCCAATTCCTCTTCCCCAGGCAGCTAAGCCTAGTTTTATTCCCACTACTTATATGTGGAAAGATTATTGAAAACTTGAGGCCCGGTGAATGAATTTGCGTACGGGTGGGGTCCCTTGGCCTGGCTGGCAATCAGGGCCAATTGGGACCAGTTGGCCGGGGGGTGGGGGGGGGAGAGGATCCATGGGATGTTGGCTGTGGGAGTGCACTGACCACCAGGGGCAGCTCCTGTGTTGACTGTCTGCCCCCTGGTGGTCAGTGTGTCATCATAGCGACTGTTCGACCAGTCGTTCAGTCGACTGATTGTAACGGTTGCTTAGGCTTTTATATACTATATAGAATGATAAATGGGTACTTTCAAGTAAGCATCTCTGGGTAACCTCAGGGTAATAAAGGGCCAGGGAGATGAGCTCCTGAAAACCTCAAGAGCTGAGACAATGGACAAACCTGGCTTTGAAATCTGGTTCTGATACTACCCAGCTCAGTGACCTTGGGCAACTTACTTAACCTTCTATGCCTCAGTCTCATGTATATAATGGGGACAATAATAGCACCCATCTCACTGTTTTATTGCCAGGATAAATGAGGTAATCATGCAAAGCCCTTAGTAAGGGCTTAATAAAAGCATATTATTATTATTACTACTCTTATTACCCATAAAGGGAAAAAAGATACACTTGAGCGAAGTCAGGGAGGGAGAATGAATAATTAAAACAGAAGAGGGAATGCTAAAAAACTTCAAGCTCAAGTAAACCTTCCTCCCTTCACAAATGAATTTACCTTTTTTGTAAGTCATTACACCCAGTACCCTGTGAGGATTCAGGGTTAGAGTTTGAGAGATGTTATTAAATTGGCTGGTCTATGGCACTGAAGTGTGAATGACCCTTTCATCTGGCTCTTCACTCTAGTCAAATCCCACACTACCTGACTAATTAATATACAAGAAACAGCTTGGGAGCTGCTGCCAAAGGCAGAGAAAAACAAAACTGCCTGGTGAAACTCAACAACACCGACATAACTTCCCGAGAGAGAGTAAAAAGGACTCTGAATTGTGATGAGGATGTTGGAGTGAGGAGGCCGACAGGGAGATTTGTAAGCAAATACAAGTTTCACTGTTCCCAGAACTTAAACAAAAAGAAATAGAATAGAAATTCTCAAAATGCTTTGCATGTAGCTCGAACGAGGTGGCAGTTTTACACACTCACATGTGTGTGTGTGTGCATGTGCACACGTGCGTGTATGTAATTGTCATGGTGGATTTATTCCAAGTGTAGTGACTGCAGCCAAGGTAGCAGCGATAGACGATTTACTGTGGGTCTACTTCGAACCAAACCCTGTATTTTCTTCTTTACTTTTCTTATCTCATAGGATTCTCACAGCCAAACTATGGGACAGCTATCATTCCCATTGCCAGGATGAGAGAACAGACTTCTGAGGACGGGGTTAATCATAGGAAATGGCTTTGATGAAAACTGTTCATTCAGTACTTTGAGAGGCAGAGTGAGCGATGATGGTGGTCTCTTCTCGAGAAGTTTCACTAGAGATAACTGAATGCATGGGCATCTCTGAGGAGGGAAGCACCTGCCCTCTTTATCCTAAATCTCCTGCCTCATCCACTTTCTCCCCAGCCACAGACTGACAGAGTGAGGAAAAGAGACATAATTTTATTCTTTTCCATGGGCAGAGAAAGGTACCAGATTGGAAATCAACTCTTTCAAGGGGAATTTTAGTTGAAAATTAGAATATCACACTCAGTTTCAATCAATCACAACATTTATTGCCTATGAACACCATTGACATTTACTGCCAACTATTTACTGGCCTCTAACTATGTGCCTTTACCTTCATGGTAAATAATTCATGTACATATCATTTAGTCTTTAGAATTATCCTGTGGAGAGGGTACTACTTTTCTACCCATTTTCCAGATGAGGGAATGAAGGTATGAGAACAGTAACTTGCCTAAGGTGAGACAGCTAATAAACGGCGAGGTTGGGCTTATAGATGTGCTCTGGGCATTTAAGAATAAAGACTTGACCAAACAATAAAGACTTCACCATGATGTCCAAAGTACCATATATGTAAGTGTGGGGGTTAAACAAAAGTGTCAATGATTGCTCCCTGTCCTCAAAGAGGTTTCAGGACTGTCGAGAAGGTAAAATACACACGAATGGAAACAGTTAGCAATGCCTCACTGCAGTTCATGTTGGGGTCAAACGGATGTGAGAGAAGATTCATGGAGGGAGAGGTTGCTGGAGCTGAGCTGGGCAGGATGAGCAGGGATTAGATAAACACAGCAAAGCAGGTTGGTCCCAGGGTAACTGAACAAATATTAGACTCCTGGGTTTAGAGCAGAGAGCATAGTGTCATCAGATGAACAGGGTGGGTCCCATTTAGGAATTCTGAGGCCTTCAGCAAGTTATTTAACATTCCTATGCCTCAGTTTCCTCATCTGTGATAAGGGGAGAATACCCATTTCAGAGGGAAAAGGAGGCAGTCACTACCTTCCCCTCTACCCACCTGATTACGTTCAACTTTCCAGCAGAGTTGCCTTTGCCTGCAAAGAAGATGTTAGGAAGAGCCCTACCTGCTGAGAGAAGCCCTTCACCACACGCCTTTGCTTGAGGTTTGTCTCTCCGTCCAAGTTGGCAGTTTCCAGGTGGCAGATCCCACTGGGGTCCGAGGAAAAGAGAAGGAGAATGTCGGCCGGGATGATCTCATTGCATTGCATCTGGATGAAGTCTCCCACACGCACATCCCTCCAGCGCTTCTGCACGTAGCTCTGCTCCTTTCTTGGGTGGGAGAAACACAGGGGTCAACCTGAGTCCTGAGCTTCTCCAGAAACTTGATGAGTGAATGGAGGAAGGTTCTACTTGCACTGAAATAGCTCCCAGGCAGCCTGTCACATGACTGCTCTGTATTTGACCTTGCCCCTAATGACTACCACCAGAATCTCTCTAGAAAAGCTAAGCATGATCTCTCAAATCCCACCAGTACAAGATCCATCCTTATAATCATCTAGAGTTTTCATTGGCTGTTGTCTGTTGACTGGGGACTGTGCTCAGCTTTTGCTTCTGCCAAGGAAAGGAGAAGGTAATGCAGTCATATTAGCATATCCTTTGAATATACATCTTTTCCCCAGGATAGCCAGTTATCACCGTATAACCCAGTTATCACAGGGTTGCAAGGAACTGGGGTGCAGGAAAGACCGTTTTTGATTACAGGAAGAGAGTGGCCGTAGGAAAGGTGAGGATATAGGCCTGTGTATGGGAAGACCTGAGTGGTTCTGAAATAGAGAACTCTGGGTCATTAGGGAATTAGGAAAATGGCACCAGGAACTTTGATTGGATAGAACCCATGTGGTAATAAAATCAGAGGACTACAGAAATCTAAGGCTATTATATACTTCCTTTTCCCATCCAATTTATCAAGCTCAGATAATAGTAGTGGCAGCAATAATAGCAAATTTAGCATTTCTACTGTGCCAAGTACTGGTGTTAATTAATGCTTCACTTACCTGCATAATAATCCAATGAAGTAGACACTACTGGATCCATTGCACAAATGAGGAAATTGAGAGTCCAAGAAAAATTTCCCCAGGTCTTACCAAGACGGAGCTGGAACCTGAGCCTGGGTCCAACTTGACACCAAATCCCAGAGTTTGTACTGCTTGGACAGCCCCCTCCTCAAACACATGCCCCCCTCTCCTCTAAGGAGGAAGGGCAGCCTCAGCTGGTCTACTGCCAGCAAAAGAACTTGCTATTACCCAAGGCCACGCACTCCACTTCAAGGAGCTCTCATCTCCTACCATTTTAAAAATAACTTAAGGTGTTCATATGCGTCCCATGAAGTCTTCTGGACATGTCAAGTTGAATTTAACTTCCCAAGGGCCCTCAATTTTTCTTTCAAGATCTGTCCTGCAGGTTTGGGTTCTTCGGTCTCAGGCTGCGTTTACAAAGTCCCTCTTTAAATGTGGGAGTTGGAAACAAACCACTAACCCACAAGGCCTTTTTAACGGAGCCCAGCTGGTCCGGAGAGACAGGTTCTCCTTTGCTGTTTTTCTCTCCTGACACTGAGCTCCTCGGGGCATGTTATTGCTCCTCTTTCTACTGGAATCCGGGCTGCCCTGGGCAGGACAGCTCCACTCTTCCAGAGAAAGAGGCATGACTGGAATTTCCGTTTTGACTTCACAAACATCCCGAGGAGGATAAGGGGTTTGATGTCCACCTTCCTTTTCTGGGGGCTCTTTGGAGAACCCCAGGCAAGCCTTCCTAGGACCCCATTTTCCTTGTCATAAAGGGCCCTCCCAGAGACTCTCTCAGTCCCCTGACGTGAATATGCTTCCCTTCGGAAGTCCAAGGGGAGCTCTTATTAGAGTCTGGGAAGCAATTGGGGCTCTCGGAACTGGAGAGCAAGCGGCCTTGCAACTTTCAAGCCCCTCAGAATTCTGGGGAAGTACTCATGTTCCCAGAGAGCTTGGTGCTTAAGTCCACCCATGGATTTATAGACCACTTCTGAGGAGTGGGGGAAATGCTCCCGTAGCATTTTACTAAAAATTCTTTTTAGGGAAAAGCATGTCACAGGGTTTTAAGCACTCTGGGATAAAGCCTTTGGGGATGCTGGGGTATCTGTTGATTGCTATAATCCCAGCATTCCACCTGGCATTTGAAGTAGGATTTAAGGAGAACACTTTGACTCTGAGCAATCTCCTGATTGCCAGCGCTTTCAGAGCACACTGACGCAGGTTTGCAAATGCTAGTAGGGAGTGCTGCATACATAGGCTTATCAAAGGCAAGTCCAACACACCTCTACCGATTAACACTGGATCTTATTCTTCTCCTTTCCTATAAAGGACTGGCTGCTTATTATGGGATGTGGGTTACTAATGTGATGGAAGATGGAAGGTTATGGAGATGAGCTTATTACATTTTTTTTTTTTTTATGAAGAGTCTCTTCTGCGAGTTGGGCTGTAGTGTTGTTTTGTCAATTGCCACCATGACAGGTATTGCATGTTCATGGAGCTGCCCAAGAATTTTTAAGTCAGACCAATCTCTGTCTTCTTTCCATTATTCTTTGGATAACAGGGAGGTCACTGTGACACTGGTGACAATTGCCTCTGTCCTTTCTTTAGACATAGGCCTCTCTCCTTTACAATGGCATGTGGTGGTGAAGAAACATGCTCATTGTAGGCTTCCCTCCCCAAGCCAGGGTGCCCACCTCCCGGCTGTGCTTCTCCAACAGAGGCACACACACCTCCAGGCACACAGCCCATCGTGCATGTCTAGGAGTCATGAAGGTATGAAATCAACATGATTTTGGGGTGTTAGTTCTTAAAAAAGAATTTTTTTTGGGGGGGGATATGGCTTAGTAATTTAGCTGCCACATAATTTAAAGAATTATATTAACTCAAATATGTTATGTTATGAAATCAGAGAATTTTAGGGATAAAAAAGTATGAAATCAACATGATTTTGGGGTGTTAGTTCTTAAAAAAGAATTTTTTTGGGGGGGGATATGGCTTAGTAATTTAGCTGCCACATAATTTAAAGAATTATATTAACTCAAATATGTTATGTTATGAAATCAGAGAATTTTAGGGATAAAAAAGGGAGACATCAAGGACACTGCCTTCTTGCACTGGGCCACTCTGTGTTGTTCTCCTGATCCTCTGGGTCCACTTTTCCTCTTCAGCTGTCAGGAGCATGAACGTGGAAAAGGCAAGGATGCACAGCCCCTGGGACTCCAGCCAGAGGAGGTGATGACTGGCTGAGTCCAGCTGAGGCGGAAAAGCGTGCTCCTGCATTGACTGACAGCCAGATGCGGCCAGCTGCAGGCTGGCAGCCACCTGAGAAAGTCATTCCCTGGCTAATCCAGCCCATTTGGAACAGCTGACCCAGGTGGACAGGTCCCCCCCTCACCCCCCCTCCACTCAGTGAGTCCACACCTGGGAACTGACTGCTATTTTAATTTCATGGAATGTTCACTGATGTTTAAAAATGAGACAAATCAACAATGTGGCTTGGGACAAAGACTCCATCTGGCAGATTCTGCCTCCAGGAGAAATTAAGTGGCGTCATGTTAAATGGCTTTCTGAGAGGAGATAGGGCTTATTAAGAGGTAAATAAACAGCAAGAGAGATTTGTAACCAACCAGATGTCATGGGGAAGCAGATAAAAGGGTGGGGAGGGATCGGGGAGAAGAGGATGCTTAAGGTTTCATTTCTCAAATATGTGGGTTTTAGAAAAAAGGGTTTCAAGGAACTGGAGTTGAGGGAATTTATTAGGAGGATTAGTTGTCTGTGGGACTTTTAATTTAACAGAGGATGATGCACTGGCCTGGGCTATCCTCCAGGAAGCTTGACAGTCAAGCCCAGAATGGTCAGTGTTGCTGCCCAGAGTAAAAGGAAATATCAGGGAGAATGAGTGCAGGGCAGGGATTAAGAGTGGGTTTGAATCCCAGCTTCACCGCCTACTCCCTGTGTGATCTTGGGCAAGTTACTTAACCACTCCGTGCCTCTGTTTTGTTTTTTTTTTTCAATTGAAGGTAATATATGCACTTGCCTCAGAAGGATGGGTGATGTGACAGGTAAAGTACCGAGCTCAGGGTTTTGCACTTAGTGCTCAATAAATACAAGCTTCTGTTATGATGATAAGGAGAACAAATGGCTGTTAGTGTTCTGGCAAAGGCTAAGCACTATGAAGCCAGTCCCAGTGTGTTCTTCAGGCTGTAGGGACAGCCATTTTATGCCCTTGGTTACATTCTATGGCTTGGGCCCAAGCACACAATGTACAAACACAAGGGACCCTAAAAATCCAAATCTTTTCTCTAAGCCCAGAAAAGAAGGACCCAAACTCAGCAGATTGAAGGCTTAAGATGCTGGCTACTGAGACAAACTCCCAGAAAAGGAGACCCTTAAAACCAGGGATGCCCAGCAAGTCCTTTTGTGGACCCTGACACACTGATTCTAAAGTTTCTATGGAGAAGCAAAGGACCCAGGATAGTCAACACACTATTGAAGGAGAAGAACAAAGCTGGAGGACTGACTTCAAGACTTACTATAAAGCTATAGCAATCAAGACAGTGTGGTACTGACAAAAGAACAGACAAATAAATAGATCAATGGCACAGATGAGAGAGCCAAGAAGCAAACCCACATAAATATAGTCAGCTGGTCCTAATTGCTTCATGTGCTTTCTATTTTCAACCGTGTAAGAAGCTTGCTGAGAGCTGGGATGACCTTTAGCCATTTTAACGTCCTGTCTATCTATTCTTGTTATGGCCTCACCAATAGAGACTTCCAACAATGATAATATATTATAATAGAATATACTATGATATAAGTAATATTATATATAATGTATATCTTATATAAATCTACACTAATAAAAGAGAAATATGGTAATTGGCGTACGACCGCTACCCTTTTCATTGGCTAATCAGGGTGCTATGCAAATTAACTGCCAACTCAGATGGCAGTTAACTGCCAACAAAGATGGCGGTTAATTTGCATATGTAGGCACAATGCAGGGAGGCGAA